AAGCGCACAAGATTTGTGGCGCATTAAACATGTCAACGTGTCTTGTAGCAACAAACTGGAATAGATTTTAAAGGGATTTCCTTTAACCTTTAGTCTCAACTCTTTTTGCTGGTGCAGGTTTTGTTTCAGCTGTTAAACTGTGTGAGGACTTCGTCCACCACAGCAGACAAGGAAAAGATCGAGTCTGGAGGCGGAAACATCCTCATCCATCACTCACGTGACACGGCAGAAAAACAGTGGGCGGAGACGTGGGTACTGACGCTTGCTGGGGTGGCTCGCATTTTCAACACCAGGCGATATCTCCTCCAGCAGTTAGGTGAGGTGATGTAATGAAGGCAACATGTGATGCAGAAGCATTGGTAATCGTTGCCTTTTCCTGCTGGGTCTGATCCTTTCGTTGTGTTTCTGCAGGGGATTTCTTTGAGGCCTGGGAGGTGCTGCTGAACCATATCCAGTCAGCTGCTCTCAGTAAAAACAACGAGGTTTCTCTGGCTGCTCTCAAGAGCTTCCAAGAGATCCTGCAGATCGTCACACCTGTCAAAGACTCGGACAAAGCAGGGGACGCGCTCGCCGCCATGGGCGTCCCCCCTGTCCTCATCGACCCGCTCTCTGCCTCCGGCCCTGGCAGACCCCTGGTGCGCTCTGATTCTCTAGTCGAGAGGCTGACGAGATACAACGGGGCGGAGCTGCAGGCGCAGCCTCCCGGCGAGGAGTCTGCGCTGGAAGACTCAGCATTGTGGTGGTCTGCATGGAACACGTGGTATCGGACAGGAACAGAGAGCACGAGGCCTCCCAGCGGCCCAGCAGAGAAGCTGGCCTTCATCCCCAGCCAGCCGTTCCTCACAGCATTAATCCAGATTTTCCCAGCACTCTACCAGCACATCAAAGCTAACTTCAGCATGGATGATCTGAAAAAGCTTGGCGTTATCCTCCACGGGGCCGTGTCTGTGCCTATAAGCAGCGACGCCTCGCCGTTCATCCTGCCTTCCTACACTGAAGCCACACTCACAAGTTTGCAGGAGGCCGTACTCACTTCTCTGGATGTTCTGCAGAAGGTAGGAACAGGAAACATATGAAGCACGAGCAAATATTGGGCTCCTAGCATGATGCAGACACGGCAGCGCTGTGTTGGCAGAACGCTTTGATTGGACACCATGGATTATTGAAATGAAGGTGTCACTTTCAATTGTTTTAGAATATCTTGACTGTTTTCTTTCTTTAACTCGACC